GTTGCCGCCTGGATCGACTAGAGACTCGAAAGAACGATTCGAGAAATATTTTCAAAGCTGGACACTAAAAATAAGTATTTTACACTAGGGTAGCAGGTAGCACCCAGTCCCCCGAAACCCCGACCTGATCCACAAAGGCTCTACCCAGACAACCCTTAAACCCGACACTCCCGCCCCCGAGTGCTACCCGGTGTGCTACTCTATTTTACACAGCCACATTCCGCAACTCGGAAGTTAAATAAACCCCAAAACAATTTTTTGCAAACCTCTAAAAGTTCTCATTAAATAATGTCAAACAATCTTTTGTCATTTTATGGGATTATAAAATGTTAAAAATGAATGAAATAAAAGGAGATTTTTAATAAAAAAAAAGAATTTATTTTTAAAAAGCTTTTGTTAAAATACATATATGTTTTTATTTGCTTATAAATTGGTTGGCACATTTTTAGTATATTATTTATTTTTTTCTTAAAATTTTATTTATAAATAAATAAAAAATAAATATTCTATATAATTATTTATTATTTTTTTTGTGTTTTATTCATGTAATAATATATTTAAAAATAAATAATTATTTGTTTTTTTCAATCGTTTGAAAGACTAAATATGAGTTTTTAAATATAAAAATTATTTATTTATAGTCTTCTGCTATTAATTATTTTTTATTTTGCAAAAATAATTATTTTAAATGATTTTAGGCCAAATAAAAGAGATAATAATTAATAGTAGTTACCGGAAGTTAATAATCACGATAAGGTTATAAAATAATAAATGTTTTAAAAGTTTATTTTCTTTTGAAAATTTATAAATAGGGTTGTCGGTTCTTCGGATATCCGGAACCGAACAAAAAAACAGAACCGGGAAATCCTCGGTTATTAAGTTCAGTTTCTAATCGTCACTCCTGTTTATGTTTAAACAATCTAATGGAAAGTTCCTTTGGTTTTATTATTTTAAAATCTTGATGACGCGAGTTTAAATCAAAAAGCAATGAAAGGATTCTTAAATTGAAGTTAGCATCAAATTAAGGTTATGATCACAATCGAGGAGAAGGATCTAAAAGGAAGGACGTCCAGTAAATTTATAAAAGTTTTTAACGGGCCCTTTAATAATATTTTGGATAAATACAGGGTGCGGCAAATTTTCCGCCCCTTTTGTTTTGGTCATATCTCGCTTCAAACTTAACAAAAATTAATAATTCTTTTTTTATTTTATTCGCAACTCTCTGAGAAAATTTTTGGTACCAAAAAGAAGAAATTTAGTTCACATATAGTAAAGTTAGGCTGGTCCGAACATAAAAATGCATCAAAAAACATTTTTTTGACAAATTTTAATTGATCATAACTTCGTCCAAAATCTTTCAATCCAAATGTTTTTTGCACCAATCGACTTATCTCGTTCAAGCGCATCGAAATAGCTTATAATTTCATTTTTGAAAATTTCACCTAAAAATTTTATTTTTACCAAAATTATTTTAATTTATCATTCAGAGGACCATATCTCATTCAATTTTTGTCGTAGCCCCCTAATTTTGATGTCATTCGAATCAGATTGAAGAGCTGAGCTGATTCGAATGATATGAAAATTTCCAATATCAAAGTTTCAGCCTTGAATCTAGGCCAATTTTTATTCAAAAAATTTTGCTTAAACTTTGAGAGAAGTTTGCTCAGAGTAAACTCAAAATTTAATGGTGATTTTGATGCCAAAATTTTTCTCAGAGAGTTTTGAACAAAATAAAAAAAGAATTATTAATTTTTGTTAAGTTTGAACCGAGTTATGACCAAAACAAAAGGGGCGGAAAATTTGCCGCACCTTGTAAATTTATTTATTTTCCAAAAAATATTAAATTTAAATTTTGACAAGTCTCTTTTCAACTAAAAATAACCAAATAATTTTTAAATATAAATTTAATAAATTTTTGTGAATATTTCTGCTGACATTTTTTGTAAATTTAATAATCTTTCATTTATTTTTAAAGTAACAATTAAATTAAAAACCCAAAAATATTTCTCTTAGAAAAAGAAATAATTACAAATATAGAAATATTATTTAAATAAAAATAGATTTATTACTCATTTTATGTGAAAAATTTCCCTAAAAATCTCAAAAAGATATTTTTTTCCAGAAAAATCTCGAAAAATTTCACCATCTCTCTACCCAATTTTTGTTTATTATTTCAGTCTCAGAATTTTTTGAAGGAAACAAGAATATGTAAATTTTAATATCGATAAATATGAATCCTTGTAGGGAGAGGGAGGGAGGGAGAATCGTCTTTTAGATTAAAGTAGCACCCCTACCTTCGGGGTTTGGTGTGTCGGGAATCCGGAGGTTGCCGCAGAACTCTCCCCATTTAAATTTCATCATCAAGGAAACCCCTCGACTAGGGAGTTTGTCGGCGTAGAGCCTTCTGGGTTCGGGTCGGAGTTTTTGCTAACAACTCATCGTGACGGAAGACAGGGTGCTATTCTTTTTAAATGATAAAAAATTTTTTTAAATTAAAAGTATGCAGATACATTTCGGTTTTTAAAGCAAAAAGTAAAAATTTAATAAAAAATTAAATTATAATAAAAAATTGAATTAAAAATTACAAAATTCTCAAAAAATTTAGATAAATTTTATTTAATTTCCTTTATTTTAAATTAACAAATAAAATTTAGAAAATTAAAGAATAAATATAATTTTATATGTATATTTGCGTAATAAAAAACATTTCTCGAAAAATTACGTGTGAAAAGTTAAAACAAAATTTAAAGAAAATTAAATATAAATTTATTGTGCTGAATTAAATAAATTAAAATAAATTTAATAAAATTATATTTAAAAAATTAGCTGTTCACAGTCTATACATAATTGTGTTATAATTTATTTTATAAATTTATTAGAAATTCCAAAAGAAATTTTTAAGAAAATTTCGTTTTAGAATTAATTATGGAATCTTTAAAATCTTTTTAATGTGAAAAACAAAAAAGTGTTTGTTATGTCCTTGATTGGGGTAATTGAGTCAATAACTAAAAAACTAATCAACAACAAAGTAATCGAAATAATACTAGGTTGCTGAAACATAAGAATAAGATTTAATGACTGAGGACTAATTCTGGAATGTCTAACAAAAATAATTATATGTATAATGGAATTTAAATTAAAAAACTATATTTTCTAAAAATTGGTGTAGAAATGAATGTGTTTTATTTTTGAATTTAAATTCTAATTTTCTCGATAATATTTATTTATTGTCAAATTAAATAAAACAGAAAATAAATAAAATAATTAAATAATAAATTATATTTAACTAAAAATTATTTTTAGATTAAAAATGTTTCTAATTTTGTTTATTTTTAATAAAAAAAATAAATATTTATTATCAAATTAAAAACACTAAATTAATTCTTTCCTTTACAGAAAATTCTCTTTCAATTTTTAAATAAAAATATTTTCTTAGAAATTAAATTAAAAAATGTTTGTGATATTTGTATTGGCATAAGAAAAAAATAATAATTTTTTTCTTAGAAATGTTTTTAAAAAATTTGTTTGTCAAAGAAGTTCAGACAACTACAAATTTATAAAATTAAGAAAAAAAATTTTTTAATAATTTATTAAATAAATTTTGTTTAAAAGTTATTCTCACATTTAAAGGGTAATATTTAAATAATTTTTCGAGAAAAAATATTTTCGTGACCTAATATTGAAAAAAACTATAAATTTAAGTAAGTAACCTTAGAAACTAAAGAAATTGGTATTTTGTTTTAATTCAGAAAAATTTTTTAATTGTTAAGTGAAAGGTAAAATAAAGAAAAAATGGACAGATGGAGAAGAAAATAATGTGAAAAAAACAATTTTTAATTAAAAAATATATTAAATAATTAATGGGAAATTTAAAAAAAGTTTTTTAAACATAAACAATCGTCTGTGATGTAAATAAAGCAAACAAAGTCTAAACCGTTCTCATAAAGTACAACTTCGGACTCGAATAATTCTTGAAATATTAAAAATTAAATGATGGATATCAGGGATTAATTTTCTCTAAATCTATTTGATAAATTAAAAACGACCTTAATACCACCTGAAATTTTCACGATTTTTCAACTTCCATAAATGTTTAATCGATGAAAATTTACATATCTGTTTCTCACCATAAATAATAGTTATTTAATAAAATAAATTATAAAATTTACAACTTATGTAGTCATATAAAGAGAAAATACTAAAGAAATAAAGTTTTAGTTCTAAAATCCCATCATCAATATATCAAAATCCGAAAATCGACGGAAAACGGGGGTAGGCGTCTTTAAAAAATATTTTCGACTCCATACAGGTAAAATAAAAATTCCATTTAGGGCTTATTTGAAAGCCCTTGAAATTTGCTACAAGATTTTGAATAGCTCATCATCCAGAAAAATTTCTCCGTTGTGATCCAATGTGATAAATTCTCAAGTCATCAAAATCATTCAAATGTCCCCAAAAAATGACGAAAATGTAACATCAAGACTAAACTCGTTATATCTCGAAGTCATATCTCTTTCCTGGATGATGAGTTATTCAAAATCTTGTAGTAACTACTAAGGGCTTTCAAATAAGCTCAGAATGAAATTTTTATTTTACCTGTATGGGGCCGAAAATATTTTTTAAAGACGTCTACCCCCGTGATTTTCGGATTTCGATATATAAATAAATTAAAAAAATAATTTATAGATATTTTTTAATTTTATTTCCTTTTTCGTTAATCCTTATTTAAATATTTAAACCTATTTAATTTTGAAATTGTCTGAAATTAACTTTATTTTCTAAAAATTGCCTTTAAAAATGTTGAAATTGCTGAACAAATAAATAAAAAAAATTTTAACTAAATTAATTTAAGGAAGTAATTTTTTAAGGAATTTTTAAGGAAAAGTTAAAGCATCTAGATAAATAAAATTTAATTTAAGGTTTATTATTTAAAATTGCCTAATAAAATTAATATATAAAATAATTAATTTTCCGGCATAAATTAAATTAAAATAATTTTTAAAAAATATTCTTTCTTTAAAATTGGTAATGAAAATAATAATTATTTTTGGGATATTTATCCATTTTTTTGCTTATTTTTCAATTGCTGATGAAGAATTTGTTCATCCAGGATTATTACATACTAACGAAGATTTTGAGAGAATTAAAAAGAAAATAGAATTAAAAGAGGAACCGTGGCTATCTGCTTGGAAACAATTTAATACAAGTAGATTTGCTCGGTAATTTCTTTGATTTTATTAATACAGGGTGACAAGGAAGTAATGGGGCACACATTTTATGCCATAACTTTATTCAAATATAAGATAATAGGATCGAATAAAGCTTATGTGATAGAGAATTAAACATGTAACAAGAATAATCAAGAATTTTTGAAGAGTATCCCTTCCTATCCCTTCCCTTGGATACAAACTCGAAAAAACCACCTTGGGTGAGACTTTCTCCCATTCCCAAAACGAGCGATTATTGAGACATTTTGGTTATTAAGAACTCACACTTCCCTCAAAAATAACTGAAGAATTAATCCATTGTATTCAAATCAGGAGAGTATGGTGGACATATTTGAGACGAATTAAAACAGGGTAAATTGGCTGTGCACCAACCTTGCATTACTTTAGCCTTATGAGCAGGGAATGAATTCTTCTGAAAGATACAGTCCCTATGTCAAAATTTGCTTTAGACCCAAGGCTGCAAAGTACCCTTAAGGATTTCTCGTAGATACTAGTTTTCATTTATTTTGACCCTATTGACACGAAAATCAAGGGATTTTGACCGTTTTGTAAATAATATTCCATATCATTAAAGAAGAAGGATGTTGAGATGAATGAAGAGTTTGTCACCCTGTAAATTTTAAAAACAAGATGAGATATTCTAAATTTAAAATTGTTTTTTAATAGTCTAAATTATTCTCCTCACCCTCAAAAAATAGTTTATCGAGGCATTGGATACCCCGAAAATTACATAACTTTGTGTCAAGATATTGCTGCAGCTTATTGCGCTGCTATAAATTGGAAAATAACAGGAAATACAAGTTATGCTGATAAATCTGTTGAAATAATGAATGCATGGTTTTTCTCGTTTCAAATATAATAAAATATTTTAAAATAAAAAGGTCATCAACATTAACATCTATACAAGGAAATAATGATATAGCGTTGGCAGGTGGTATATATGGTTCCCATTTTGCTAATGTTGGGGAAATAATGCGTTCATATAAGGGTTGGAAAGCTGAAGATTTTAATAAATTTAAGGTAATTTACATAAGTAATCTTTTTGAAAAAATGAGGAGAAAGAGGAGAGAGAGAGACTTTTAACTAGTTAAAATTCATTTTTAAGGGAATGATGGCAAATATTTTCTTTAATGCTGGCTGGGGATTAATATCCGGTAATCAACCAACAAGTGGAAGTAAACGTTTTTATTATTCGAGCTGGGATTTGGCTCAAATTGGAATGGCAATTGCTGTTGGGGTATTAACTGATAATAGAACAATGTTCAATGAAGCTGTAAAAAATTTGAAAAAATTATTTTAAATATTTAATTCTTTTTAAAGATTAGAGTCTACAAAAGTGATTGGTATTGGGGTGCAAGTTCTCAATTTATTTATTATCTCCATCCTGGGTATTTTGGACAAACACAGGAAGCGGGACGAGATCAAGGACATAATACATTAAGTATTGGGTTGGGTGGTATTCTTTGCGAAATGGCTTGGAATCAGGTGGCATTAAACATATACTAATAGAATATTAGACAATATTCTATATAGAAAAATTCAATTTCCAGATCAATCAAAAATATATAATTAAAAATAACTTAGATAAAAACTTGACTAAAATAAAGATTAATTAAACAACAGTATTTACTCTAAAACAATTACCCTGGATAATTTTATTGTTTGAGCTTTTCACATGAGGTGTAATTAATAAGAAGGGGCTAAATCAATTTTTAAATTTACATTTAAATGTTAATTTATTAATTTAATATTAGTTTAACACTCGATATAATTTAATTTCAAGCATGTTGATTTGTATGGATGGGATAATAATCGGTTTTTGGCTGGGGCTGAATATACAGCTAAAGTCAATTACAACTTTAATGGATCTGGTTTCTAATTTTTTTTTAATATTTTCATATTTTGATTTAAAATTAAAAAGGTTTTGCCGATGTTCCTTATATTACTTATGGTAACTCTTACGGAGATGGTGTTGTACAAACAATGTTAGGACCAGGAAAACCCAACAATCGCCAAATCTGGTCACTTATCTATAATCATTATGAAAACAGAAAGGGTATTTCTGCATCTTGGTCAAAGAAATATGCTATAGCATTGCGCCCAGAAAGTAAGCAAAATAATTAAGAAGTTGGATGAAAAAGATTTTAAAAGATTAGTTTGATAGAGGTAATAATTTATAATATATTTTAGCAGGCATAGGCGATGGTGATGCGGGTAATGGAGGTTCTTATGATTTCCTTGGATTTGGAACACTTCTTTACCAACAAGATACAATTTCTGAATCTTGCTATCCAGAAGGGCTAACAGCTAGAGTGAATGGAACAAAAGTAGAATTAAATTGGTGGGGCCCTGTATATGCAATAAATTATTCGGTGGGTTTAATAATGATTCTTCGGATAATTTTTTAAATTTATTTTTCTCCAGATTCAACGTTCTACAACAATTAATGGAAAATTTAATACTATAAAGAAAAAAATTGGAACACAAATATTAACATATACTGATTCACCAGGAAAGGGCACATTTTATTACCGAGTAAGCTAAAAATAAATTAATAAATTTATTATCTTTTTTTAAAGGTTTTAACAAATGGATCAACATGTGCGGCTTCAAATATCGCAAAAGCATTTATTGGCACAAAATTATATTTCAATCTTTCATTTAAAAATGTAACTAATGGATCTTTACCAATTGATTTGAGTGAAAACAAATTTTCTATAAAATTATTTAATGGAGCTTCTGTTGGTGTAGGAATTAAAGGAAAACAGACAGCACTTTCTTTAAATGGAAATACGCAATATGCTGAACTTGAAAATAATCTTTTAAGTGAACTGTCTGATTATAGTATTGCTACTTGGGTAAATATTTTATAAATTGAAAAAACTTTTATTCTGAAAATACAGTCGAATCTAACACAACACTCCTCGAGACCGAAGTTGGGTCGGGTTTCGGGTCGGGCTTTCAAATTTTCTTCGGATCGGGTTTCGAGTCGAAAAAAAGTCCGGGTTCGGGTAAACCGTGACATCCCTGGCTGACATTTAAAGGAAAGTATGAGAGAAGGCAGATTCCATTGTACTAAAATAATAAAAAAAACTTAATAAAATGTATTAGAGACCGTTACTTAATCTTTAGCAAAAAATAGAAATTCGAATATTATACCAAAATTTTAATAAATTCATTATGTACTTGTAAAAAACATCAATTATTTTAGCTTTTTTGTAATGGGGAACTTCCAAGAAATGCTCGTTTATTTGATTTTGGAGCGGGCCAAGGTCACTATATTGCATTTTCTATGCAAATTAATAACGGAAATTGGCACTTTAAAAGTACTGTTGGCGGGGAATTTGCTGAAACTGGAATACAGGGTAAAGAAAGATTTTTTTAAAAAATTTTCCAAACAATTTTGAAGGCAAAGGATCATTAGATTGTGTAAATAAATGGATTCATTTGGCTGTTACACAACTAGGAGAGAATGTGACTCTTTACTTAAATGGTACAGTTGCTGGACAAACCAACAATCCAATGCCGCCTTTCCGCATTGGAAACACAACAAATAATTGGCTTGGACGTTCTCAATTTTATATTCCTTTTCATTACCCTTATTTTAGGTAATTGTTTTATCTCTAAAATAAAAAAAAATTAATTTTAAAAAATTTTAATTTATTTTTACTAAATTTTAGAGGATTAATTGATGGATTTAAAATATATCAAGGAGCTCTTAATCAAAAACAAATAAACGAATTAATGTAATTATGGGAATGTTTCTTTATTAAAATTTCGATGTTACCTTATTTTAGGTAATTCTATCCTAGTTTTACATGTAATTCTTTAAAATGTACTAAATTTAAATAATGAAGAATAAAATTTTGCATATCTTAATAAATTTTGAATAATCATTTTTTAGTTTTTTAATTTCAAAAAAATTCTGAAAACCAAAAAATATTTTCCTTAAAAATTTTTAAACAGGATTTTTTTAAACGTTTAAAAAAAAGGATTTAAAAAAGAGAAAAAAACTACTATGTAGAGTTTCAATAAAATCCACCATCATTATCATAATTAAAATCCGGTCCAAATATATTTACCCCTATTTTTAACGCGTCATATGTTTATGGACAAATGTGTTTTCCATCTTTTGATTTTCTACTCAGTATCGTTCGAAATGTTTACATAAATTTTTGTAGAATTTTTGCACCAACTAAAGTAGGAAAATCCAAGGTTATTTAATTTGTCCATAAACATATGATGCGTTAAAAATAGGGGTGAATAAATTTGGATAGGATTTTAATTATGATAATGATGGTGGATTTTAATGAAACTAAGGTATTTTATAGCAAATAAACAGGGCATTTGGACCACCGAATTTTATTTTCGATTGATTCTTATTTAGTTTTGTTATGAGGGATTTTATTGATAATTCGTTTTAGTCCATAAACATATGACCACCACTGTACACTCTGTCTGCTATTTGTTTCCTAAAGTGATTCTTTTCCTTAGTTAGTTTTTTGATAGAAAAATATTTTTTTATTAAAACATTTTTTATTTTTTAAATTTTGTTGATAACTTTTTTTAAATTTATTAAAAAATAAATCAAAAGAATACCGGATATCCTTTAATAACTACCCTTGGTAATTATTGTTTCGACCTTCCGCTGGAGGGAGTAATGGGAGACGGTAATTGTACGTGGTTTGGAATTTGAACGTGCTTTAGGGCATTTGATGGGGGGGGGGTAATTATTGTTTAAATCTATCGCTGTATGGGGTAATTAATGGAAGTGGAGTAATTATTTAAGGAACGGTAATTAATACAGGTTATATGGTAATCTAAATATTTTTTAATTTTACTTCCTTTTTCGTTAATCTTTTTTACATATTTAAATCAATTTAATTTTAAATTGTCTGATATAAATTTTTTGTCTAAAAATTGCTTTTAAAAAATATTGAAATTGCTGAACAAATAAATAAAATATTTTTTAAATAAATTAATTTAAGGAAGTAATTTTTTAAGGAATTTTTAAGAAAAAGTTTTTAAGGAAGCATTTAAAATTTTTAAAATAAGCATTTAAATAAATAAAATTTAATTTATTTTTTTTTGTGGTTTATTATTTAAAATTGTCTAATAAAATTAATATATAAAATAATTAATTTTAAGACATATGTAAATTTTATAAAAATAATTTTCAAAAAATATTCTTTCTTTTAAATAGGTAATGAAAATAATTATTATTTTTGGAATATTTATCCATTTTTTCATTTATTTTTCAATTGCTGATGAAGAATTTGTTCATCCAGGATTATTACATACTAACGAAGATTTTGAGAGAATTAAAAAGAAAATAGAATTAAAAGAGGAACCGTGGCTATCTGCTTGGAAACAATTTAATACAAGTAGATTTGCTCGGTAATTTCTTTGATTTTATTAATAAATTTAAAAACAAGATAGATACCTATTCTAAATTTAAAATTATGGTACTTTTCGTTATACGACCGCAAACTGAGAGACAACCCTTTTGATCGGCTTTAACTTTTTAATGCTTGAACCAATACTAATGAATTTTATATCAATCGAAAGCCCACCTATATATCTTTTTAATATGATAGATCAAACCTGATCAGTCATTAAAAAGTTATAACCCGATAAGTCCGTTTATTTGATGTTTTTCAGATTTATCAAGTTATAACTTTTTAACGACTGGTCAGATCTGATAACTGATTAGATTGATATAAAGGTTATCGAGGGCTTGCGATTGATACAAAATTCATTAGTATTGGATCAAGCATTAAAAAGTTAAAGCCGATCAAAATCGGTTGTCACACAGTTTGCGTTCGTATATCGGAAAAATAACAAATTATTTTTTAACTTTAAACAAATTTAAAAATTATATTTCTTGATAGTCCAAATTATTCTCCTCGCCCTCAAAAAATAATTTATCGAGGCATTGGATTCCCTCAAAATTACATAACTTTGTGTCAAGATATTGCTGCAGCTTATTGCGCTGCTATAAATTGGAAAATAACAGGAAATACAAGTTATGCTGATAAATCTGTTGAAATAATGAATGCTTGGTTTTTCTCGTTTCAAATATAAAAAAAATATTTTAAAATAAAAAGGTCATCAACATTAACATCTATACAAGGAAATAATGATCTTCAGTTAGCAGGTGGTTTGTATGGTTGCCATTTTGCTAATGTTGGGGAAATAATGCGTTCATATAAGGGCTGGAAAGCTGAAGATTTTAATAAATTTAAGGTAAATGTAAGGATGATTCACCTAGCAGCATTAAAAAAACCGCTTATACATTTTAAAAAACGCCTAAACGATCTAAAAAGGAAAAAGAGAAAGCATAGTCGATGCCCCGGTGTTCAGTGGTGGTTGAGCTCCTGTATATGGTGAGCGAAAGCGCCTAGCAATAACTATCAGGTGGTCGCAGGTTCGAATCCTGCCCGGTGGCTAAACTTTTGCAACTCTTTCCTAATTTTAATATGTATGTCATCATTTTGGACAAATTACTTTCAGAGATTTGATAATCTTTTTCCTAAACTTTTAACTAATTAAAACTCCTTTATTTTTTAAGGAAATGATGGTAAATATTTTCTTTAGTGCTGGTTGGAATGGTAGAATATTAGGTAATCAACCAACAAGAGGAAGTAAACGTTTTTATTATTCTAACTGGGATTTGGCTCAAATTGGAATGGCAATTGCTGTTGGGGTATTGACTGATAATAGAGAAATGTTTAATGAAGCTGTAAAAAATTTAAAAAATTATTTTAAATATTTTATTATTCTTTTTAAAGATTAGAGTCTACAAAAGTGATTGGTATTGGGGTGCGAGTTCTCAATTTATTTATTATCTCCATCCTGGGTATTTTGGACAGACACAGGAAGCGGGACGAGATCAAGGACATAATACATTAAGTATTGGGTTGGGTGGTATTCTTTGTGAAATGGCTTGGAATCAGGTAGGATTATCTTAATAGACTTGGAATATTAAGAATATTTTATATAAAAAAATAAAATTTCTTAATCAATCAAAAAGATATATAATTAAAAATAACCTGAATAAGAGCTTGATAAAAATTGGAAATTAATTAAACTACCTACTTACTAAAATAATACTCCGGGTAATTGTTGTTTCAACCTTTCATTAATTAAAAGGGAAGATTTAATTATTTGAGTATGTAAATAGGGTATTTTTGTTTTAAATTTAAATTAACATAAAATAGTATTAATCCAATAATTTACTTATAATATCAAGGATGTTGATTTGTATGGATGGGATAATAATCGGTTTTTGGCTGGGGCTGAATATACAGCTAAAGTCAATTACAACTTTAATGGATCTGGTTTCTCATTTTTTAAAAATGTTTTCAAAATTTTATTTGAAATTAAAAAGGTTTTGCCGATGTTCCTTATATTACTTATGCTAATTATTACGGAAATGATGTTGTACAAACAATGTTAGGGGGAGGAAAAGGCAACAATCGTCCAATCTGGTCACTTATTTATAATCATTATGAAAATAGAATGGGTATTTCTGCACCTTGGTCAAAGAAATATGCTATAGCAATGCGTCCAGAAAGTAGGCAAAATAATTAGAAAGTTGGTTAGAAATACGAATTTGAATTAGAAAATGAGAGATTATTTCAATCTGATATTTAAATTTATATTTCAGTTGGCTCAGGCAATATTAATGGGGGTAATGGAGGTTCTTATGACTTCCTCGGATTTGGAACACTTCTTTACCAACAAGATACAATTTCTGAATCTTGCTATCCAGAAGGGTTAACAGCTAGAGTGAATGGGACAAAAGTAGAATTGAATTGGTGGGGCCCTGTATACGGAATAAATTATTCGGTAGGTTTAATAATGGAGTTAAATCCTTCCTTGGATAATTTTATCAAATAAATTCTTCTAAAAACTTTCTTCAAAACTTTCCTTTCAATTAAAATATATTTTTTATTTTTAAATTTATTTTCACCAGATTCAACGTTCTACAACAATTAATGGAAAATTTAAGACTATAAAGAAAAAAATTGGAACACAAATATTAACATATACAGATTCACCAGGAAAGGGCACATTTTATTACCGAGTAAGCTAAAAATAAATTAATAAATTTATTATCTTTTTTTAAAGGTTTTAACAAATGGATCAACATGTGCGGCTTCAAATATCGCAAAAGCATTTATTGGTACAAAATTATATTTTAGTCTTTCATTTAAAAATGTATCTAATGGATCTTTACCAATTGATTTGAGTGAAAACAAATTTTCTATAAAATTATTTAATGGAGCTTCTGTTGGTGTAGGAATTAAAGGAAAACAGACAGCACTTTCTTTAAATGGAAATACGCAATATGCCGAACTTGAAAATAATCTTTTAAGTGAATTGTCTGATTATAGTATTGCTACTTGGGTAAATTATAAATTGAAAACTTTTATTCTGAAAATACAGTCGAATCTAACACAATACTCATCGGGAACACAACACTTCTCGAAATCGGGCTGACGTATAAAGGAAAGTATGTGCGAGGAGGTACCGTGTTAGATTCCATTGTACTAAAATAACTTCGCACTGTTGAAGGTGGTAAGCGAGATCAACCTGGGCAATCTAGTTAATAGACCTGTTAGAGTTTACAATGGTACCAGATTGAAGTAGGTCCGACATCACTGGACCGAGGACCGTCCAAAAGAATACATGACATACGGTTTTTTGATAGTTAGTTGTCAAAATGTATGAAAGACTGTTACTTAATCTCTAGTACGAAAATTGAAATTCGAATATATACCAAAATTTTATCAGAACTAATTTCTTGTCAGAAATACGTATTTATTCTTTTAGCTTTTCTGTAACGGGAAACTTCCAAAAAATGCTCGTTTGTTTGATTTTGGAGCAGGTCCGGGTCGTTATATTGCATTTTCTATGCAAATTAGTAATGGAAATTGGCACTTTAAAAGTACTGTTGGCGGGGAATTTGCTGAAACCGGAATTCAGGGTAAAGAAAAAACTTTTTTATTTTTCTAAAAGAATTTTCCAAACAATTTTGAAGGCAAAGGATCATTAGATTGTGTAAATAAATGGATTCATTTGGCTGTTACACAACTAGGAGAGAATGTGACTCTTTACTTAAATGGTACAGTTGCTGGACAAACCAACAATCCTATGCCGCCTTTCCGCATTGGAAACACGACAAATAATTGGCTTGGACGTTCTCAATTTTATATCCGTCCTTATGATCGACCTTATTTTAGGTAATTGTTTTATTCCTAAAATTGAAAAATTTATTTAAAAAATTTTAATTTATTTTACTTAATTTTAGAGGATTAATTGATGGATTTAAAATATATGAAGGAGCTCTTAACCAAAAACAAATAAACGATTTAATGTAATTATTGGAATATTTCTTTACTAAAATTTCGCTTTTATATTTACATGTATTTAAAAATGTAGATTTAAATAATGAAGAATAAAATTTTGCATATCTTGTAAATTTTTAATAATCATTTTTTGGTTTTTTAATTTCAAAAAAATTCTGAAAACCAAAAAATATTTTCCTCAAAAATTTTTAAACAGAATTTTTTTAAACGTTTTAAAAGAAAGGGATCCAAAAAAAAAGAAAAAACTAAAAGTTTAGTTAAGGTCATACTAACTTAAATCACTAATTTTCTTTCGAACTAATAATTATCTGTTTTTGTTTTGGGTCGTCAAATCGGCTCATTGTTTGGACAGAATTAAGCATTAAAAATCCAAAAGAGAGAACTCCAATAAAAATAATTGCAACCACAAGAATCATCCAAGTACCAATACTTAATAAAGGTGCACAATCATTGACACGCCACCCAAACTTTGCCATTCTTTTTTTATCCGGAGAAATATAAGTTGAATTCAATTGAAACTAAAAAAATATTTACATTAGTAAGAAAAGAGTAAAGTTGTTAATCAGTGTCAGAAATGGCTTTGTATGGAATTGAATAAAAACCGGTACTACTGAAGATAAGGGTGCTATTTCTGCGGACTTATTTTGTGGACTTTTCCTTTCCTTTACATGTTTTACTTGTAGCAACTAACTGTCAAAGGCCCTCCACCATATTATTTTTCTTACCTAAGATTGTACATAAAGGTCAAATTTTCTTCTTCCCCTCCTTCCTCTATTTGCCCTGTGGCATATTCAAACAAGAGACATTGATAAAGAGAAGATTAATTTTATAGTCATACACTTATTTTTTGCCTCCGAAAACGATGTTAAACAAAAAAAGAATTAAATAAAATTGATTTAGTCTATAACATTATAAATTTCTGTGTAAAAACATTACATTCTTACTTATATTTAAAACTAATTTAAACTGAAAAAAATTGAACTCAATATTGAACAACTCAATTAATTTTATTATTCTCTTTAACAATGTTTCTGTTTGAATATACCAAGCTCAAATAGAGGAAAGAGAGGAAGAAGGAAATCTGACCATTTTGTACAATCTTAGGTAATAAAAATAATGGAGGGGGGGGGGGGGACAAGGTTTGAAATTACCCGCATTTTGATCCACAATCACATATTCTTTTTCTATGAAGCATTCCGAGATCAGTGATCCATAGTTGAAATTCATTCATCATCGTTTATAATGTTCAAATTAATGGTGAACACATATTTTTCAAATTGGCATAAAAATTAATCCTTTGACAGTTAGTTGCTACAAGCAAAACTCGCTACAAGCAAAACAACCAAAACATTAAAAAAGAAAGAAAGGAAAAGTCCGCAAAATAAGTCCGCAGAAATAGCACCCTTATCTTCAGTAGTACCTAAAAACCCACCAATAAGGAAATGCTTGTATCTGTGAAAATTCAAAAATAGTTGAGATTTTGTCCCGAAAACATCGGATTTTATCCTAGTACCAATACAAAAATGGAAAAGCCAACCACGCATTTACAAATTTAAGTAACAAAATACTAACTTGTAAATTATGAAAAGCCAAACCAACTGCATGTTCTAAGCTTTCATCTTTTGCCCAAATAATTGGACTAGTTCGGCCACAAGAGAAAGCATAGTCTTTAAACCCATTAATATTCCAGGCCGGAGATTGATTGTCTGTGAAAATCCATCCTTTATTGTTACTGCTTATACCAGAAACAAGTCGCCAGGTGTTATCGACACTCTGAATTAAAAAAATATCCTCATAAAATATTAAATATTTTACTAGAAGTGTTAACTCATAAATTTATATAAATTTTCGAAACATGCACCATGTCAGTTTAGTTAGCATAAAATTTTAATTTCTAAATTGAATTCGAATTCGGTTCCGGGATTCAAAATAGATAAATGCGACTTAAATTCGAACCCATTACACTCGGTTACCTACTGGGAAACTACAAACTTATCGAAAAAGCATCTCTTCCTCATTTTTTCTAGGAAGATGAAAAAATGAAAAAAGTGCGTCATACAAAATCGACTATTACCTAATTTTTGCGGATTTTTATGAGAAAGCTTCAACATAATTTCGCATCTTACATTGTTTTTCTATAGAATTACCACAATTCAAAATTTCCTTGTAAGTTACATTAAAACTTAATTTACCAGTCAGACAAGGGGAATACATATTTTACACGAAAAAACACAGGAGTATGATAAAGCAAAAAAGAGAAAAAAACTAACCGGAACTCCACCTTCTTCTGCGCCATCTAAACTTATTGTTCTAACATCGGCATTCACCAACTCCCAATAAGCTGATGAAGTAAAGTTAAATATTAAACTGAATAGAAAACATTTTGAAGAAACTAATAATAATCAACTTACTCAACATCGACTTTGCTTAACCGGAAAATGACTTTCTTTTTATCACCAATATAATAGCCTGAAACACCTTCACCGCCAGCATTTGCTTGCAACGAAATTCTAAAAAAGGAAAAACAAACTACGAATTAACGCATTATTTAAGGTTTATATTTGGAGGGGGAAAATTATGCCAAATTTTGGGACTTTGTTGGACCATATCTTGGCCCGATCAAAAAACAGCAAAAACGGGTCAAAATCCTTGCTAGAAAGAGAACATGCTCTATCGAATGAGCCCAGTCTCAACCGAATAACCGAATTATTACAAAAAATCCTATCAGGAAAAAATCAATAAATTAAATATCAAATTTAAAAGCCTGAGAAAACAGTCCCGTAATATTTAAAAAACAAATTACTTAAACTCCTGTCCTGTATTATGAGTTGCTGGGCATTCAATTGAACCACTATATGTTGCTCCCTTCGAAGTTGCATTAATGGTCGCCCAAGCAGAAATTTTTTGTTTTACATTATATAACACAACAGAAATCGATTCAATATATAAAAGGCAAGTATTTTTTTCGTCTCCTTCCAAATAAAATTTGGCACCGTCCTGCTTTAGTTCATTATGTGGCAAAACAATTGGAAATGAACCCGAAGCAGATGCAGAAGCTCCTGTTTGAGAGTCATGCTCAATTTTCGGACCTCTAAATAAAAAATTTTCCCAGCTAAAATTTCTAAAAAATTATAGGCAAAAACTAGGGTTGTTGGCGATAACCGGTACCCCAGTTTCTCAATTAATCCAAAAATCGGTTTTCGGTTTTGAGTTTTAGGCAAATACCGGTTTGGGGGAATTTTTAATAAAACCACTCATTTTCACAAATGTCCGGTTTTTAAAATTTTCTAAAAACGGTTAATTTTTGGCAAAAAATGTCAAAAATTCCGGTTTTAAAACCGGTCGCCAACAACCCTAGCAAAAACGGAGAAAAAAAATTTAAAATATAAACCTGACTGTTGAAATCGTAAAAATTATTAACAAAAATTCGAAGAAAGAAGCATAAATTCCAAATCTCTTCATCATAATTAAAAATTTGTAATAATCTGAAATAGCAAGTAAAGCAAAAATAAAAAAAAGAAATACTTAACGTAGAGAAATTAAAGATCAATTTGGGCAGTTTGCCACAAAAACATATGGAGGCAATATTTCAAAAATAAAATGACTTGTTAACTTAAAATTGAAAGAAAAAACAAGATTTAACAGTTCCCAACATCTTTATTCATTCATAATTTAACATTTTATCATTATCAAATAATATATTTAGGTATAGTCATCAAACAAATAAGTTCATCTGATTCCCAAATGGATTCCCTCCATTACCAAACGGACGTCCTCCAAACGAACGCTGCCCTCCAAATGAACGCTGTCCTCCATAATTACGTCGAACACCACGGCGTTGGAAGAAAAATGAGCGAACGGCAGAATAGCCAAAAGTCTCTTGATTGGTTTGGCGCTCCCTCTTCCAATCTGGACGGACATTCTTTCTGTAAAATTTGAATTTACACAAAATTTAAAAAAATGGTATTAGCCCCTAGTACATATTTATATATGGGTTTCGATATAGTGGTCACTGAACACCACATCCCAAAATGTTTTTTACAACATTACTAAATATCTAAAAAAAACTTTAAACTAACCCAGCTTCCTTCTCAAGCGCATCGCAGGAAATGTTGTCAAAGAATGAATTGTGCTTATTATAATATTCCGAGTATTTGTCACTTGCAGTTATAGCCAAAAGTGAATTAACAGACTTCCCTCCATCTTCGCAGCCATCCTCTTTGTCTGCTGCTTCATTTTTCTCCTCTGATTGTTCCAAATTAACACCTCCACCCTTCAAGTCTTCACAAAATTGTTCATTCGCCTTCTCAAAATCGTAATCCTTGTCGAAGGCTAAAAAAGATAGAATTAGATGTCGATATTAGACTGATAATCTCGAAATATTCTCGAGGGAATGTCAGAAGACGACCGGTATTGACGAAAACTCGGTAGTTTCCCATCTTTTATTTAAACACAAGCAAATAAATACCTGAAGTAGTATGCTGCCCTCCAACATTGCCACTCATTCCACCAACTCTAGGAGGACCCATCATATTTAATTTAGTAGGCATCTTCGGCTCTGGAGGCGGATTCATTGAAATCGACACAATTGCCGGATCATATGGAAGACCAGCAGACATATTTCCAAGCATATTCAACGCATTTGGTTGCTCACAAACAATTAAGTCTTTGATGTCACTCGCCTTGAAAACAATGTAATGATATAATTCATTCCTCTTTGGAACGAAAACAGGTGTCAAACGGTCCTCGGTTCCATAAGAATAGACTAAATGTGAAAATAATACAATTCAGACAAACAATCAAACAAACCGTTTCGCAACGAGATTGTAGATTCAAGTGGGTCAACATTGTGCAAAGTCCCCTCGTAACTAAAATTTCAATCAATTAGAATTTGGTAAACCAGCCATAAAATTTAAACCTTACCGAATGTCCAATTTAGAAATGAGGCTGATTTTGCTTCCAATATAAGGAGGCGGCGGTTGCATTCGCTGACGCGAAAAGTTCGTTGAACTCATATTGATCTGAATCCGTTAGCAATTAAAAAATCTCTAAAAATTAATTCATAAATTGTAAACATACATATGAAAATTAAAGTTATAAATATTAGTTTGACCCAAATCTAAAAGTCTCAAATGCTGTCTAAAAATCATCTTTAGTAGTATCCGGTACAATCATTTTTCTAAACCAGGAAACAGGATTTTGGATTTCGTACAGCTGAATTTATCTGGATTCCGAATCGGACTCAGGCTTCTTCAGATTTTTCCAAAAATTCTTAATATGTACATATAACTTTTGCGTAAAATTGTTCAATAATGAAATTTATCAATAAACGCAATGCAAAATCAAAAATCAACGCAAAAAGGCTAAAAGAACAATCTCAAATGCTTATGAGCGGATTTTAGGAACAAATGCAGGCGAAATTATTTTTTTTATTTTTAGTTGTTTAAATGGCGCTCCGACTCGGGCACAGTGATCCATTTGCACAGTAAGACTTTTGCACAGAGGGCATCTGCACAGTGGACGATTGCACAGTAATTTGTGGTTAAGTGGATTCGTGTTAGGTTTTACTTATTGTTATAAGGGAATAAATGTTACTAATTATTAATACCTTTACTAAAAAAATCTTAAATTGTATTAGAATTCATAATTCTTTTTCTAACCTAAATATTTCCTAATTCTTTTTTACATATTCTAAATTTTCGTTCGCTTATCAAGTGGACAATTCTAGCAGATCTTTATTAAAGAGTGCATTTGTTGTAAAAATGAATTTTTACTAATTTTTAATGATAAATAATTTACTTTCTAATAAGTTTCTTAATCATAAAATGGTTTATTCGAAATTTAAATACAGTCCCTTGTATTCCTGAGTCTGCTATATTAGATAAACACCTTTTCACTTTTTTAAAAAATTTCTTGCTGGACACGCATTTGACTGAGTACGCCTAGTCGAACTGCGTTGGGGTAGTACAGTGCATCAGAAATCAGATTTTTTAAAAGGGGTACATATCCAAAAAGTTTTTCCTTGTTTAAAAAATGTTGTTAAGACTCGGGGCAATAATTATGTTCAGTTAGATTTTTTATTCATTTGATCCTTTATGTGATTTACAGATTTTTCTTATGAATTCTAATACAATTTAAGATTTTTTTAGTAAAGGTATTAATAATTAGTAACATTTATTCCCTTATAACAATAAGTGAAACCTAACACGAATCCACTTAACCACAAATTACTGTGCAATCGTCCACTGTGCAGATGCCCTCTGTGCAAAAGTCTTACTGTGCAAATGGATCACTGTGCCCGAGTCGTGTCACCGTTTAAATTCTTTTTAGTTCAAAAATTCTTTTTATAAGGGGGAAGGGGGACGATTCAGTATCGCCGTTTCAGTATCAGCCGATTCAGTATTTCGGCTTTTTGGCCATAATTTTTGTTACAGGCTAAACTTTTTTTATTAATAGATAAGATCGGGCCAATTATGAAAAAGATGCCGGATTACGAGACCTTTTGAATGATATTAGAATTATTCGATCGGACGAATATCAGGAAAGTATATTCGTCTGAATCAGCGATACTGAAACGTCCTTTTCCCTTAGAAGGCGAGACACTAGAGCACTACCAATAAGAGTGCCACTAGAGTGCCCTCAATAAAACCTTGATATTGCCTTATAAGAATTCCAGTCAAATCGGTCGACAAATCCAAAAATGTTTATTATGAATCAACCTTATTCATAAATTTTCGTTTGTTAATTCAACTACAAAACAACATGAACCTATTTCGATTTATTGTAGCTAAAACTTTATTCTCTACTTCTATACTACGTTTTATATTTGTTGTATTCTTGATGGGTAACGGTGCTCTTTCCGGCTCCAGAAGCTCTAGCAATAGAGGATCACAGCGTAAACTTGTCGAAAACCTGCGTAGAAACAATTTTGTTACCAAGGATCGAGCAATATCTGCATTACTTGCTGTTGATAGGGCTAATTTTGCGCCAACACGTCCTTATGACGATATGCCTCAGGTACATTGAAACTCATTTTTCCCGATTATAATATTGTTAGCATTTAAAATGATTAACACGACTGGAAATAGTTATCTATTTATCACTTGGCTTTATTTTTTGCATGAACTCCTCTTGAATGCTTTATATTTTAGTATATTGGTTACGGTGCGACTATTAGTGCTCCTCATATGCATGCAATAGCCCTAGAGCATCTTGTAGATGTTATTGGCGATGGCTCTCATGTATTAGATATTGGGTCAGGATCTGGGTATCTCTCAGCATGTTTCGCAAAGCTTGTTGGTCCGCGAGGAAAAGTTATTGGTGTTGACCATATTGAGGAATTAGGTAACTATTTATTTTTGGATAAAAACTTTTTATTTTCAGTGAATACTTCAATCGTCAATGTACGTAAACAAAATGCAGATTTGCTCTCTTCTGGCCGGCTTCATTTGTTCGTCGCTGATGGTCGTTTGGGATGGCCGGCTGCAGCACCTTATCAGGTTGTGCTTTTAAAATTTTCTTTAATTTAAAATAAATTTTATTTTCTAGGCGATTCATGTTGGCGCTGCATCAGAAGTACTTCCACGTATTTTAATTGATCAGTTGGCGCCAGGTGGTCGAATGGTTATTCCAGTGGGCGCTTACAATCAACAATTTTTGCAAATAGACAAAATGCCCAATGGAGATATTGTTAGGCGGAATTTAGCAGATGTCAAATATGTGCCGTTGACTGCTAGAGCTCTCCAAATGAATGGTGAAACTGCAACGATGCATTAAACACAAGAATCTCTAATTTCTTTCTGATTAATAATTTATTTTGAAAGATTATTGTACTATAATTTATGCCCAAATAAATCTTCAATTTATTATTTACGTACAAATGGATGTTTAATTTCATCAAAAAATATTTGAATATTGTTAATCAAAAGTAGCATAATGGTGAAAACCAGGGATGTCCTGTCTCCAGACTTGGTCTTTCCTCAGCACGAAGCCCGACCTGTCGAAATTTTTGAAGACTCGATCCGAAATCCGACCCGAATTTCTTTCAACCCGACCATCCCTGGTCGAAAGTCGCTACCATTCTAATCGTTTATTTCACTTTTTCTCAAATTTTAATTTTTGAGGTCTGCGTTTTCTGCTGAAATTTTTTAATTTTTGAACATTTAAATTGGCATTTCGTTCTTTCCTTTATTAATTTTTAGTATTGCGCACAAATGACGCCTCCAGCATTTCAGTTACCTCGACTCGCTACCGCTAAACACATTCTTGGATCTTATGACACATTTTTATTCGATGCTGATGGTGTTTTGTGGCGTGATGAAAATCCTTTGCCTGGGGCCATTGATCTAGTCAAACAATTGTCAGATGTTGGAAAGCGAGTAATTATACTTACAAATAATTCTTCTCGTGATCCCGTTGGACATGCGGAGAAGGCTAAAAGATTGGGATTTTCAAGTTTGTTTATAAATTTAATTTTTTAGGAATCAGATTTAGGACCGTAGCCAGGGAAAATCTGGGGGGCAGGGGATCATTTTTTCCTATTTTGACATTTTGAACTCGTTTTGGTAAATCTTTGACTATGTTTTTACGGACCTTGTTAATTACAAGTATGGGGAATTTGATTATAATACAGCCTTAGTTTTGACTCATGTCAGTTTTTGCTAAAAAAGAATTTTTTATTCCTCAAAAATATAAATGTATTACTTTTATTTTGAGTAACAGATTTAAAAAATTAAAAATAAAATTAATTAAAAAATTTAGACTTTACCTCCAATGATGTTTGTTGTCCAAGTCTAATTCTTGTGGATCAATTAGAACAAATGAAGAAAGATCCCAAGTTTGCATCCAAAGCTCATCTGCCAATCTTTTTAATTGGACCGCCAGGCTTGGAAAATTTTCTTAGAAAGCGTGGAATCGAGTCAATTGGAACTGGACCTGATCCAATGCCTGACGGAAAGGTTTGAAAATTTGTTATTTGATGAATTTCTCAATAATATTTTAGTTATTCACTCTCGACAATGCTTCTGATTTTGTCACAAAAGAACCTGTTTTAGCAGTTATTGGATCATTCGATTCGCACATTAGCTTCCCAAAAATTATGAAAGCAGTAAACTATTTGCATGATGATGAAATGCCATTTTTTGTGACAAACGAAGATGCACGCTTTCCTGGAAAAGATCCTAATATTGTTATTCCTGGAGCTGGAACGGTATAAAATTAAATTTGTTTATTTTTATTTTCTATTCACAAAATATTAATTAAATAATTATTTATGTAGGGAAGATTTTCCCATAAATTTCTTGAATAATCTTTGAAAAATTAAACTAACGAAAGATTTTTTTCAAAAATTAATTTGAATTTCAGATAACTTCAATGTTAAGATACGTTTCGGGACGTGAGCCAATAGTTATGGGAAAACCAAGTTCCTTCTGTTGGGATTATATTTGTAAAAATTTTAGTGGTTCATTTACACGAGAAAGAACTTTAATGATTGGCGATAGGTAATTTATTGATTGTGTAATTAATAAAAATTTATTTTTTAAAGATGTGAGACGGATATTCAATTTGGACGTAATTCAGGCCTTAGCACTCTTTTGGTTTTGACGGGTGTTTCTTCAATGGAAGATGTTAAACATTTTGCTATGCAGGGAAAGCAATCACTTATCCCAGAATTTTTTGTTCAAAATTTGAAAGAACTTTTATGAAAGAGTAGAATATTGTTGTATTATATTGATTAAGTAGGTAATTTTATTTTAGTGCAGAGGTGGGTTGGAAAAGTCAGAGGGTTCGAAAATCGGAAGAGCCGGAAATCGGAACTGGCTCAAAAGTCTGAAATCGTAATCAATTTTTTCAGACGTTTCAATGTTGAGATACGTTTCTGGACGGAAATTGGAAGGAAAAAAAGTCGGAAATCGGAATTCCGACCCACCTCTGCTTTAATGTTATATGTATTTTGTTATATTATTTAAGGAGCTTTATTTTAAAAATTTAATTGAAATTAAAACTTTGTTTTACTTTAAATTATAATAAAGTCGCAAGTTTAATTTTACAATAATTTTTATATTTTCTAAGGACTTTTTTTCAAAAATTGTCAATTAATTTTGTTAGGCCGAGATTACTAACAAACATTCCTGAATGTCTTGTTCTCTCCTTAAAAAATTCTGAAAATTTTGTCTAAAAGTCAGTCTAATTTTATATTTAAATCCTTTATGTACGCTTTCCTGGAAAAGACCCTAATAATAGCTACAATTTTGTATTAAACGCATACTTAGGTTGTTCATCAGGACAAAAAATTTACACAAAAATTTCTTTTTTATAATACATTGAGAATAGATAATTAAAAACAAAATTGAGAAATAACATATTTTTGACTAGAAAAATAGAAATGTTTTTTTATTGATATAATGCATAATAAAAATATTTTTTTTAATTTTGTTATCTTTGGATAACCATGCATTATTTCAATTTAATCTAACTAAACATTCAAATCATTAAATGATTTATTTTTCATCTTATAAATTAAAAAATCTTCTAAATAATTCTACATAAGCATTAAATACTGCAAAGGACAGTAGGCACAAGTTCCATGTTCGTTGCGTACATTAACGCGTCCATCTTCCCGTAATGAGTTTGGCTGTACAAAAACAACCTTAAAATTTAATTAAAATTAAATAAATCTCAATTGTTAAAATACTTGGTCTCTATAAAGACGCAATTTTTGTTCCACCAAGTTACAATTTTGTGTTAAACGCATAGGTTGTTCGTCAGGTTGGAATGCAGTGATACAGGTACTTGGAAATGTGAATAATTGTTGAAGACGGTCATTAACCTAAAAAAATAAAGAAGTTGTAAAATTTCAGAATATTCAAATTTATTTAAGTATTACAGTAATGAAAAAGGTTACAAAAGGGAAGAGAGAGAGAACGAAGTACAGTTTAAAAAGGGCCAAGTGATTGAGTTATATATAACAAATTTACTTTAAATCCATGTTTCCAGTCCGGATCACCATTGTCCAAAACAACTAGCCGATCACCAAGGAAAAGAGAGCATTCCCCATTTACATATTCATGAATAACAATGTGTGTACTAATTGGAGGCATTAAACGACGTGAAGAAGCTGATTCATTTGGCTTTATTGGTTGTTGTTGTTGAATTGGGGCTAAAAAACGATTACGAAAATTAACGATTAAGAAAAGACTAACCAGTCATTGGGGGTGCTGGTGGCAATCTTCTTGTCAATTGTTGCGTTGTTTTTGTTGGAGTAGGTCTTGATGAGGGCGGGGATTCACTACGCTCAAATGAATTCTCGAAACTTTCACCTGAGGCGGCATAACCTCGTGCAGAACGAAGTTGTTTTCCTTCTGAAAAATTAGGGGGTTTAAAAGAGAAGTTTAGAGAGGGATTTTAAGATTGTCTTTAAAAAACATACTAAAATACTGATTTCGACCAATTCCACCCATTTGAACTGGTGGAGGCATATCAGCACAATCCAACGAGAGGGACTTCATTTTTTCACTAAGTTTTGGCCGTCTTCCTCCTCCGTTTTGGGTATTATTTGTTTGTTGTTGTTGTTGAACACGTTGTTTTGTTGCTGGGGATAATTGTTGTTGACAATTAACAGAAATATTGTTGTTATTTGTTGTTGTTCCGACTACGCTACCGTTACCGATTCCTGAAATTTTTTTTAAAACAAGTCAATAATAGGTATATATTTATGTGCTCGTTATAATGGGCTTTTCTCCCTTTTTTAGAAATTTAGTACTTTAATAATATTAGAGAGACAATAAATGAAAAACAATGGAATTTCCGGGTTCACTCGCTCGTGAATATTTTATGTAGTTTTTGTACTTAAAACTTTTTTTTGATTTAACATTTATTTAAAATGAAAAAAAGGGGGAATAAATTTTAGACGGAAGCAATAAAGCCAATAAAAGCTTAATATATTCCTTTTAATAATCACTTCATTTTATATCCTAGTAACCCATTAGAAGTGCTTTTCTATTTTAGAAATTAGTTTTAAAAAAAGGGAAAAATTCCGTCATATGTCCCGGAAACCGATTCGGACAAACGATATGTCATTCGAAAGAGCTCGCCGAGCTGAGTCGAACGGCACCAAAATTAGCTTCGGGACTCACCCATGGACCGAGATATAAGTAACCGAAAATGTAAAAACCATGGGGGGAGTAAGCTGATTTTTGGGGTGAAAAATTCGATTTTACAAATTATAACTCATTCGAAAGAGGTCGACGAGCTGAGTCAAATGACACCAAAATCACCGTGATTGAACAAGATTGTGCAAAGTTACGACACAAAAACAAGCAACATAAACCTATGGGACGTCAGCGAGGCGCTTGTGCAAAACCCCGCGCTTCGCGCGGGGTTTTGCGACACGCGCCTCGCGGGGAGTCTACGGGCGCTGGGTCTGGGCTCGTAACATAAACTTATGCCTATTTTAGCTGGGGTCAGCTTGTCTAGCTTCCTCCGCAGCAGCAAAAACCTGCACATGTACCAAAGGTAAGGAGCTCAAACAAACGGTCATAACTTTGTCAAATCAGGTCAGATTTCGGTGATTTTGGTGTCATTCGACTCAGCCCGAGGAGCTCTTTCGAATGAGCTATTATTTGCATTTTTTAATTATTCACCCCAAAAATCAGCTTACTCCCCCCATGGTTTTTACATTTTCGGGGACTTATATCTCGGTCCATGGGTGAGTCCCGAAGCTAATTTGGTGCCGTTCGACTCAGCTCGGCGAGCTCTTTCGAATGACATATCGTTTGTAAGAATCGGTTTCCGGGACATATGACGGAATTTTACCAAAAAAAGTTAATCTTTTTTAATTTTAAAAATATTTAAATTTAATAATTAAGAGAGGAAATATTTTTATTGAGTTAATTTAAAGAGTATCTTAATACCCGGCCAGAAATCGGCCCGTATTTTTCAATTAAAAATCGACATAAAAATTTAAAAAAAATTAAATCAAGCCAAGCTCCACATACAAAATATGGTCAATTACCGTAAATACTGAAATAATTACTCTGGGTAATTATTGTTTCAATCTTTCGCTGGAGGGTGTAATTATTAGTGAGGATGTGCTGGATTTGGGATATATCTCAATCTACTTGCGGAAAATTGATTTATTTTTATTGCTTAAAATGTTCCAATAATTAAATTTGATCATAATCATAAAAAAACTAGGGGGTAATTATTAGAGGGTAATTATCTGAGAGAGGGCATTTACGGTAATTTTCCTCTATTTAATAAACTGGTTGGTTAAATATTTCAGAACTTAATATTCAAAAAAATTATTGAGAATTTAATTGAAAAAAAAATTTAAATATTTTTAAAAGCTTTTTAATTTTATTCAACTTTTTTTTGTTAATTTTACTTAAAAAATTCTTGGAATCAACAAAAATTACTAAATATTCTTTTTGCAGATAATTGAGGAACCGGTAAAAGGAGAAAGAAATAAGGAATTATATTAGCTTTTTATGGGAAGAAAAGAAAATTAAAAAGAATGAAAAGCAGCGGGGGATGATGGGCTGCTTGAATTGGCAAAAAAGTGTGGGTGGAAAAAATGAAGGAAGACAAGAGGGAGAATGAGTGAAATGAAAGTAAGGGAGAGGTAATATAAAAAAAGAAATTTTAAAGGGTAAGGGCATTCCCTAAAAATTTTTGGGCGGGGGTGGTTGGGGAGAGAGAGGGAGAGAAAAGTAATTTTGAATTTTTGTTAAGGAAATTTTTGAAAAGGGGGAATGAATAGAGGTGGTGAAAAGGTTAAAGGTTGGCTGCTAATTATGGACAATTAGTAAATAAAAATATGCTTTTTATTTAATTTTAGAGTAATTTTAGGAATCTGTGCCAGTCAAAATTTTTTAAAAATTAAATCTAAAAATAAATCCCAAAATATATCAAAAATCAGCTAAATATTAAATATTCGTGAATTTATGAAAAAAGAATGGAGGGAGAACTAGGTATCCAATCACAGGGAGCAGCAGTCCAAAAAAATCACAAAAATCAGAAATTATTTTAGCTCTCCTCTTTAAATTTTAATTATATATTTTTATATTAATTTTTGAACCAAATTAAAATATTTTCTCGCCAAACTAGATATGGAACAAGCAAAACATTTTATGCAAAAAAACAAAAATGGAAGGAGGGGATTATAAAATTACTAACTAAAAATAACTTTTTAATTGAGGTATTTTGATACTAAAATAAAAACAAAAAGCAATTTTATTGCAATTTTCTTGTTTAAAAGAATAAATAAGTAAATCTTTTTTGGAAAAATACTTATTTAAGGTATTTTAAAGGTTTAACACCCTAAAAATCAGCTCCTTAGGGAGAGAGTGAGAGAGGGAAATATCGTATTTCCGAAAATAAAACTTCACCCTGAAATAGAGCCCCAACTTTTTGGATAGTAGAAAAATAGAGCCCTATGGGGCTATATTTTCGGTGATACAGTATATTATAATGTATATTTAATATTAATTTATTTAATAAACAAATAAATGTTTAACTTTAAATAAAAACACTTTCTTTTAGTTTAATATAATAAAAAATGTTTGGTGCCATTGAAACTTAAACAAATTATAAATGCCATCTTAAAAACTTTGTTAATGGAGTGAAAAGGAAAATAAAATAAAAGTAAAATGAATGGAAGGAAAAAAAGTTTTTTTTATTTACAATTTAGAAGAAAACTTTGGCAGGTGAAGAAAAAATAATTCAAAACAAAAGTTTGTAAATAAATGCAAAACTTGTTAAAGTTTTTATTTTATTTTTAATTATTGCAGAAAATAAAAGAGAATATTTATTAATTGGGATTTTTTGCGTGATAGTTTATATTAGACAAGCTGAGATTTACAAAAATATTTTTAATAATATTAAAAATAAGCAAATATTTTTAGCAGCAATATTGCAAATAAACAAAAGCAAATATTTAACCTAATGTGAAAAAAAATAAAATTTTATCTGCAAAGGTGAAGAATTTAAAAATAAATTTTAGTACTTTGAATAGTAGACAGAGTTAGTAAAGAAACGGATAAATAAATTGTAATTTAATAAATTAGTTGCACTTAAAAATGAGTCAGAATTATTAAATTAAATTTAATAATTTTAAAAACAATTTTTTGAATTATTAAAAAATTATTTAAAAATTAATTTTTGGTTTATTATTAAAATAAAAAATAGAATTTAATGTTTATAAATTTATTATTCACAAAAATATTGAATAAGAAAATCTCAGAAAAGTGGTTTTTAATGGATAAAAAAAGAGAGGGAGAATTAAATGGGAGAATTGAAGCAAAAATTAATTCCTTTCTTTCTTTCCCCCTCAACCCCCTCAAAACACCCTCACAAACTTAATATTTTATTCAAATAACTTTTTAGAAAGGGGTTTTTACAGTTATTAATTTACAAATTTAAAAAATCTTTTTATTTTCTCAAATATTTTTTTTGGTTTTTGGAATTTTTGATGCTTAAAAAAAGTCAAAAAATTTTTAATTTATGTTTATTTTAATTAAAAATGTTTAAATTATTTTTAGCAAAAATAATTTTAAAATCACAAAAATTAATGCGAGGGTGGAAAAATTAAGCAGATAAATTAAACAAAATTTTTTTTATCAACTATTCTCACACTAAATTAATTTTGGTTTAATTAATTAATGCAAAATTAACAGACCAAAATAAATTAATCTTTCAATAAATATTTCTTTCCCCTCAAGAGAATAAATAAATAATTTTTTTTTGATTTTAATTTTTAGGTGTTTAAAGAACAATTAATTTATATAAAAATGTTAAAAATGATAAAATTATTCCCCACTCTATCTAATAATTATTACCAGACAAAATGAATTTTAGAAATAAAAAAAGCGGAAATAAAAAAATATTTTTTGGAACTAAATGTGATTTTATTAAATAATAAAGTTTTAAATAGTTTTTTTAATTAAATAAAAGAAGTTGTTTATATAATAAGAAAGTTTTAATTATTTATTGTTTAATTAATTAATTGTTTTATTTAAATTAAAATTTTTTTAGAAAAATTAATTTTAAAAAATGAAAGGAAATTCTTTTTTAATTTTTTTTCAAAAAAAATTTTTAAAAGAAATGATGGGGCAACTAAAAAATATTTTTTAATGACATGTAACGATTAACAACATCTTTTAATTTTATAATAGAGAAAATCGGTGTGACGCTTGGAGATTAGGATTATTTTAATATATAAAAATATTTTGGATTTTTAATATTAAGGATGTTAGAGAATTATGAAAATTAATTTTACATTAATACAAAAATTAGAAAAAAAATTAAAAAACGGTCTAGAAAAAATATTTAAAAGGTTATCCTTTAAAAGAATATTTTTTAAAAGAATTTTTTTGTTAGAGATTTCTACTAGAAAATATTTTTTTAGAAAAAAAAGTTAATAGTAAATATTAAAATTTATTAGTAAAATATTTTTGCTGTTTCTATTTGTTTCTAGGAAACGAAAATTAGTAATTGACAAAGAATGATA